TTCTTACTAATGAGTTTATAAGATGAGTATTTTTTATGTTGAGTTTTATAAGATGCAAGTTTTTATAGTATGACTGATGGGTCATGGGTTATGTGTGAGGATGGAAATAGAAAGTTTATGCGAGTTAGACTTGTCTATTTCTAGGAGTCTGGGAATAGAAGTTTTATGTGAGTTAGAACTGTCTATTTTCCCTAGAGACTCTAGTGGAAACACCCTGGGTGATTGGGTTGTTTTAGATGACCTGGTTTTGGTCATGGATGAAGTGATATTCCGAGATAGGGAATGTCATTGTGATATCACGGGAGGTAGTTCTGGTCGACAAGTGCTTATGATGCACGTTAAAGAATTGATTGCTCAAGGAGGGATGTGAGTTCTCTCCAGGGAATGTGAGTTTCCTTGTATTTCTTTGAGAGAGAGGTACTTCTCTCCAGGGGATGTGAATTTTCCTGCATACCGATAGCTTGACGGACTGTGTATCCCGAGAGTGGGAGGGGTATGGAGCATACTAATAGCCTGATGGACTATGGGTTTGGAGGGTGGAAAGGGTATGGTGCACCGAGAGCTCAAAGGGTGACGACCCTGAGAGATGGTGATCAATACAAGTTATGAGCAATTAATGTCTGAAACATGATCGTAAATATAAGACTGGATGAGACCCTCAGAGATCAGGAGATGATATCAGGTGGTGCTGGCCGGGTTTGGTCAAGAGTGTTACCGTAGTGTGACATTGTTGCGTGATTCGAGGTCGAATCCATGTTAGTGGAAGAGAATTGTAACGCCCGCGAACCAAAATATCGAGTTTTTGGTCGTGCATCGATTGACACACGGGTGGATTAAACCAGGTTTGTTCAATTCAAATCGCTCGATTTGGCATTTTCGTTAGCGAAGCCCAAGGGCTTCAGTATATAAGTCATGTGGCCGACTTGTGTTGCGATTTTAGTCGTTTTTGAGATTTTCGGAAAGTTCAAGAGAATTTTCAGTGAGTTTTGAGAGAAGATTTGAGAGAAAAGAAGAATCATTGTTGATTTCTTCCTATTCTTGATCCTGAAAGATCGTGTGTGTGATTGCGAGATTTTGGAACTAGGATTCGATCCGTGTTCTTCATGGTTGAGGAAGGAATCCGGATTTGCAGATATGATCAGTAGTGTTCTTCGTGTTCTTCGTCGATTTCTTATCCTTTTCTATCCGAAATCGAGGTGATGCGTGAACATGGCTTATCTGGGTAAAGAAATTGATAGGATGCATTTGATTGTGTTTGTTGGTTGAATTTCGTGTTGTTTTTGGTGGATTTATGCAGGAAATCGATGCGATGCGATCAATAATCGATCTATGAGAGGATAGGTTCGATTTCTAGGTTTTGCATCGTGCGTCGATCGACATAGTTGCTGTGTGTCGATCGACACAATGTGACGATCGACACCGGGGGTTGAGTGTCGATCGACACACTAAGGCTGCATTGACCGACACAGAGTGTGTGTCGATCGACGCAGGGTCTGTTTTGCTGATTCGCGTTTG